TAAAAACCCTGAAAACCACACATTTCACACCCGAGCCTCAACTCTCGCGGCCCGGTACCAAACGACTCACAGACTGGTACCGGTGATTAGATTAGATTTTAATTGGGGAAATTTTGCCTCAGACAGTCAGAAATATTATAATTCTGATCAGTTATCAATACTGAGACTCGTGATACTTCATCAGCGGTGTGAGCATCACAGCAGATGCCATTTAGTCAAAGTAACTGAGGATAAAACACAGAAAAACATGAAGGAGATTTTCTTGGCCATAAACATTAAAAATATTCTGCAGTAGAACAAAAATGGAAGAAGACCATGAATCATGAATCTGATGCTGCTGAAGTGAAGTGAGGTTTTATTAGAGACACAAATATTTGCGTATTGCAATTTGGCATAATTTCAAAAAGTTTCTTCTTCATTTCTTCAGTGTTGAACTGAAAAAAACCATCATCTGACAGCACTGTACACATTGGTAGACTGTCACGTAATAAGCAAGCGAATTGTCATGGTCCTGGGTCGGTGACCCAGTGTTTTTGGTTTTTGTACTTTTACTTTTGATAGTTTTATGTATTATGACTGTTGTGTTTTGGGTTCCCTGGGTTTAGTTTGGGTTCCCTCTGTTTGGTGTCATCTTTGCCTGTGTATCCCCTTTTGTGTATTAAGGTCTCTGTGTTAGCTCGCGTCTCTGAGTCTGTGTGTGTGTCTGATCTTAGTGTGGTCAGTTTACTTTTTCCCTGTCTCGTTATGCCTGAGTACTCCCTCCTTTTGTGTCTCATTCCCTTGTTATCCTTCTGTGTATTTAAACCCCGTGTTTGCATCTGTTAGTTGCTGGTTCGTCTGTGTTATTTGGGGTTTTCTTGTCAGTGAATCTCCCTCCATCATCCTGTGAACTCTCCCTGCAAATTGCTTTCTCTCGTGTTCAGGTTTGTTGTTTAGGTTTTAGTTTTCCCAGTGTAGTTTATTTCTAAGTTTTGTTTTTCGCCACACTCACCTTTTGTTTGTTATCACTCGGGTTCTGTGTCAATAAAGCCCTCTCACTTCACTGCATATCCACATCTTGGGTCCTTTGTAAAAATTCACACGGCTCGCCCCGGCAACCCGTGACACGAATAATGCAGAAAACTGAAATTTGAGATGGGAAACTTCTTGAGAGAGACAGAGCTTTGCAGGAAGTGATTTTATTGTGGTGGAAGCAAAACAGCAACCGGTCCCGGCTGGGGTGAGAGAAGGAAGACAGGATAAAGACATGCTGTGGAAGAGAGACAGAGGTTAATAACAGATATGATTCAATGCAGAGAGGTCTGTTAACACAT